GGGGGTGAGGGTGAAATTTTAATTTTAGAATTGGGAGGAGGTTCAATCTCGGTCATTTAGGAATAATAGACATGGAAATCTCTCCTTGGCTACTTTGATAGTGACTAGGCTGGGCGTCTAAGAAGAGAATTCTTAGGTGTATCAAAAACAGGTATATGGATTTCTGTTGTATCTTGTGTTTTTGATATTTCAGTTTTGTATGGAAGTAAAACACAGCGTAACGCATAACAGCTTTCTAGTTTTTTGTTCTTTTACCTTCATATTTAAGTGATTGCAAAGCATCCTGGTAATTACTTGGTTCCTAGAGAATAGCCATTTTCCACCTTTTCTATCTCATAGCACAAATGAACTACTTACTCAAATTCTGCTGCACATCAAAGAAATATGTTTTTTGCTGATCTGACAAAAAAATAGGTATAATTTTGATTCCTTCACACTGGATGGCTATCGTTATGGTGGCTGTTGTCTTTTTTTTTTTTAATTTGACGATCCAAGGGAGAAGAGGTCAGTGCCTCTGACTCAATAGTGTTGCATGTTTTAGGAATTCTTGCCGCACGCCGGTTGAAAATCACTGCTCTAGAAGGTTCAAAATCTGTGCACCTTCTGAAGCCACCAAGCAGATCAGCTGAAAAGACGATGCTCAGGACACTCTGCCTCCCAAATGAGTACTTATTTCTTTGTGAGGGCCTTCAAAGTTAGTCTGAAATAGTCTGATGGCATTAAATCCCAAAGTGGTGACAGCTGCTGCTACCTCTTTCAAGAGCAGTGTCAAGTGCAGAGTTTGCTGGTGCTTCTTCCTGCTAGTGGGTTGCACCCGAAGTGAGTTATTGGTGTAACCACCTTAAATTGAGGTCCTGGGAGGGCTCAGCATGACCCCTTCTTTCTCTACAGTGAGTGGAAGCAGCTTTGATTGACTTTAGAAGATTGAAGTTCGTGGAGGAAAGGAAGCTTATCTGCATTTTAGAGGGGGTGGGCCATAGCTGGTTGTGAGAACAAGAGAAAGAGTGGAAAGAGCCGTCTTCAATCTGAGGACAATAAGATTGAGTTTATTTGCAATTTTCCTCAACACATTTCTGCAACCACGGTGTTTCCTAAAGTGCTTTTTCATAAAATCTGCTTCGGAGAACTGGGTGAGATTACTGAAATCTCCAGGGCCCCACCCCAGCCCTGGTGCTGAGGAGGAAAGCTTGGTTTTAGCGAGCTTCCAGGCGATTTCTAATGCTAACGGCAGTGGAATGGACTGAAGGGCTAGAAGTCTCAGCAGAGACCCACCCCCACTCTCCTCCCCAGAAGAGGCATTGAACAGGTAGCAGAAAATAAACTACGCTAGGACTGTGGGAGGATTGTTTGCAGTAAATTGAGTGGACTGGAGTTTTTTCTGGAGGCCTCTGTTGCTTTAGGTCATGAAGGAAGGATAACCTTGGTCAACCTGTTCAACTTACAGATTGGGAGGGGAGGTAGCCAGGGAGAAAATAGCTGATATTACTCACCACTTGTGTTAGTCACTTCATTACAGGTCCTACATTTATTATCTCATTTAATCCTCTTGCATCAGCCCTAGGAGATATTATTACTGACATTTTAAATAATGACTTGATATTTAATACATTGGTATTCAATCCAAAATTCTAACCACAGGTTTTTTCTTCCCCACACTCCACTAGGAACTTGGCTTGCTGACTATCCAGAGGAACAGAAAGGTTGGCCTAAGTAGTCAAGGACAAAGCTGACAGCCAGACAAGTCCTGACCTCTGCCCTTGTTCCAGCTTTGACATATTACCTGTTGCCTTATTTCTTGCTGCCTCTCCCACTTGTAAAATGTTTCTCACTTTCTGTTTAGGTTCAAGCTAAACTGAATCTATGGCTTTAAATAAATTAAGAACCTAAACTCTCTAGCTTAAATAGAAATGAAGTAGTTTCCCTACCTGAACCCTTGCCTGTTGCGTCCCTGAAACCTTCTAGAACATTCTACCATACGCGCTCTGGTTGGGCGATGCGGCCACCCCTGCGATCAGACTGCTTTGAATAAATTTTAAAATCCTTCCTGTTCAAGGCTGTGTCGGGGTTCTGTTTTAGAGAATAAAGCCTGTGACCTTTATCCTTTCTGTGGAACCGGGGGCCATCCTCCTGAGCCGAAGTTCCAGGAGAGCAGTTAATGTTGAAGAAAACCTGAACTCAACTCAGCAATGAAGGGCAGCACATCACAAAGTTAAATGTGATTGTGCCAAACATATTAGGTGCTTATCTGGGGTCACACTAGACCTTTCTCAAGTAACTGGAAAACTTTCTTGAAGCCACAATCTCATAGTAAGTTGGAAGATAAATAGGAAAAAAACAAACAAACCCTGCAGAACAATTATTTGCTCCTATCATTGGAAATCTAATGTCTGAAATAGTTTTTGTCCTCATAACCTTGGAAAATTGCCTGGTTCATTTTCAGTCCTATTGTTAGCACAATTCTAAAGGGTTTGTTCTGGCCAAAATGAGTTTTGTTGGCTTATGTTGGGTTTTTAATGTTGTCTCTTGACCCCTAATGCTCAGGTTCCTGTGGGTGTTAATCAACCACATACAGTGTAACCTTTCAGTAGAAGATGAGGGTGACTGCTCACGACCTAAACAAGGTGATGGCCTCATGAACCTGTCGATTAGCCCCAGCTAGCCCAAGCTCAAGTCCTGTGGTTTTATGTTTAATGGTAATAGCTCATCATATTTGGCATAATTTTCCATCCTGCTTCCTACTCCGTCATTATAAACACAGACTTGAAATAGTATTTTATATGTCCAAATACCTAAATGTGCTAAACTGGAGGCAATTGTTTCTAGGTAGTTGAATTTTTGAAAGTAGAAAAATTTTTTGAAAGTGATGATCAGACTCTGAATTGTTTTATACATACCTGTTTTCTTGTGCACTTTTCTGTATGCAAATAAAAGCTATAAATTTACTCATTTCAATAAACTGGAATGGCAGAATCTCATGTGTTACCATCAGTTTATTCTAACACATAACCCCTGTTTTGTGTTGTTGTGTTAGGGTCAAGGTATAAAACATACCTGTCTGAGGCGAGGAAATGCTGTAATGCGTTGTGGACAGTCACAGAGATGAAGAGAGAGTGGAAACGCATTCAATAGGACCATGAGTAAGTTATTGGCTGACACCTTTCAGTGCCTCACTCTCCTCTCTCAGACCTGCACCCCCCTTCCTGGGAGTTTGATGTGAGTCCAGTGGAAAAGCCCTATACCAACCTCAGCTGATGTCAGGAATAAAAATCATCCCATGGTGAACTCTTGCTTCACACCTTTTCCTCTTTGCCGGCTCTAGTTCTTGTTTGACCTCACCAGGACGACACTGCTCTGGCCCAGGCTGGTGCAGGCCATTCAGGAGAGCTTCTGTGTGAGGTGGGCTGGCCGGTGACCAGACATCTTTAGCACTAGGACACTCTCAAACACTCTAACACTCTTAACATTAGGACGCTCTTAACACTAGCACACTCTTAACCTTTAAAAGACGGCATTTAAAAGACAGCATTATACAAACTCCATACATTTTCCAGGGTCAACTGTACAGATAATGTTTTTCTTTCCTTTTGCCTGTAAAAAAGAATGTATATGCTTAGGTTTCTGAGTATTTAAACACTATATAAAAGATCCAGGCTCTCATTCTTTTCAAGAAGATCTAGATGTATGAGGGAGATGACTCCAAGGCAGGCCTTGCTTGGTTTCAGAAGTCTTAGTGTTAAACTCGACCTCTCTAAGAGTAAGACAAGCTTGGTATGTGTGTTTGGTGGGGCGGGGGGTGTCATTGATTGGTGTTCACTGTTATGGGATGTTCAGTATTACTGCCTTACCTTTCCCCTTACCTGAACATTTGGTCTCTTTCTGACAATGAGTAGGGTAGAGAGAAACACACTCCACACAAAAGCAGCTTCCAGAAAGCCACAGGTGGAGAAGGCTGCTGATAAGAACACGTTGCACAAATTACCTGGCGTATCCAGGTGCTCTGCAGAGTGTCCAACGCACTGATCCTGTGTGCCATTTCCAGGTGGCTTGATCTGTAAGGTCTTGCCGGAGGTTAACTCTTGCTCATGTGTGCTAGGGGAAGACATTGACTTCAGGATCGTAGGAACCACTGTTGACCAAGCAGAGGAAGGTGGTTACCCAAGTGTCCCAGCCAAGTGGAAACAGATCTCTTCTTCATCGTCTCTTTAGCCACAGGGGCTACTCACCCCTGTATTCCAGAAGTTCAGCTTTTATGGTAACCCTGTTTCACCTGGAAGAGGGTTTCAGTTAGGCTTCAGGGAGACCTAAGCTAAAAGCTGAACTTGAACAGTCAGCATGTCTCCAGATTTCTCACATAAAGGCAAAGAAAGAGAAAAGGTAGTGATTTTTCCCAAGATAATCTTGCATTTGTGAGGTGCTTTACCATTTACACAACATTGCTTCATTCTGTAGATATCATCCCCCTGTGGGTGGGCTCTGTTTCTGCTCCTTCACAACTGAGAATGGCAGCCACGCTTTCAAATGGCTGCGATCTGCTCCACCTCTTCAGTGAGTGCTTTCCATGGCATTTTATTGTAAAACTGCGTTGTGGTAGGAAGATCTTTCCAGGCAGTGATTTCAACTCTTCCATCAAAATGTTAACTGTGGTGTCGTCTAGAGAGAGCCAAATGGAGCACAGGTCTGTGTCTTTCCTATGCTGAAAGCAGGGAGGGGAGAGCACAAGGACACAGCTAACTCAGGAGTTGGTTGACTTTGCAATCAACTGATGAGTGAGAACTCTGACCCACATTCCCGGAAAGGTTCAATATAAAGTCTTCTGGTGAAAGATAGGTGCTCCCCAAAAGCCCCTGGCAAAGGTTCAAGCTAGTACCATTGGAGGACATTGCTAAATATTGAAACACCTAACTCCTGCTGGGAAAGGTTTTAACTAATTCCCTTCCATCCAAAATAACTAAGATTCATGTTCTAAGTTGATAGGCCAAACATGAACACACACAAGGTTGTGTGCTGGCCACAGCCTGTTAACATGACCTAATTACAGCAATGCTGATGGACAGGGACCAGCCACGTGTCAACTCACCCAATGAGGGACTGAGCCTGTTTGCTCTTACTCCTCTGGAATTGTGTACTTAGTTACTAACCCTTTTCGGTGTGCTGAAATCACGTGAATTCCAGCCTCTGGGAAGATAGCAGCATGGGCTACTTAGTGGCAAAGAAACGGGGTTTCTGCTATGACCAAAAATGAGGTGGTTATAAAGGAAGAAAAAAAAATCCTGCTCTGAAAGTTTTCATGACAACTTTTCCCCATTATGTCAGTCATGAAGTTTTCTGTCAATTCTCTTTTCATCTGGTTGACTCCAATCACTATTATTTTACTTTATATCTAAGAAAGAGAAATTATTGCCGCCCTAAAAGTTATATGGTGACCTGTAACTGAGGCCACCTCCACCTGGAACCTACTCACACTGATCATCACAGAACACGGGAGCCGATGGAGAGGGAGGAGGCGGAGGGTTGGCTATGACGTGGAAGGGTTAATACGACATTTGCCTCCCTGCCTCCCTCACTGAGAGACAGGGTTAGAGCTTGATGGTGGAGACGATGGGCCAGAGCAGGAGGAGTTGTCTTCTGATGAAAGACCCTGGGCATTTCACAGCCCACGTGCCCATTAGTAAAATTGGACTATACTAATGGGAAGGCTCACAGTGGCTAAAATTAGTAGGGGGGCAGTCTTCTCATAAAAAATCTAGATTAAGGGCTGCTGGTTTGGGCTCAACAAGGCCCTCAAGGACAAGACATTTTCGCAGCTTTTCACTCCAACTTTTGTAGCCTTTTGGCTCCTAATAGTCACAAAGTGGCTGCATAGCTCCAAACAAGGAGGGCAGAGGGGAAAACCAACATCATTCAATGTCTTCTCCTTGTACCGGGCATTTTAGTTTTTCCAGAGGGTTTCCAGGAGACTTCAACTATCTGTGTCTCATGGCCACTGCTAGGTGCAAGGGAGGCTGTGAAATCAAACTTAATGTTTTACCAACTTCTGTCGTGAAGGTAGTTAAGGAAGAGGCATGGCTGGATAGGTAATTTATGAGGCTTAGGGCAAAATAAGAATCCATTGTTGAAAAGGCAGGGAAAGAGTGCCCTCCAGGACAGGAAAGTGGAAACTTCCTTTCTTCTTTCTGCAATCTATTCCACATCGTGATGTATTTCATCTGCTATTTAATGTTCTAAATAAGGAAAAATTAAAATGTTAAGTATTCACACGAGCTTTACCGCTAATCTTTAACTCATAAGTGGAATCACTGAAATGACACAATTTGCATTTCATGACTCCTGCATGCACATGTACTTCATTCCTGCCAGAACCATGGAAACGCCGCACAAACCAACTCAACTGCTTTTAATTCACTCCCCGACACATGTGCATTCTGCAGTGCACTCTAGCTTACTAATGAGTAAAGAAAGACGGAGGGAAAAGAAACTATGGGCTCCCCTATCTTTTCTTTCCTTCTGTGTCATCATTTTCAGTGTAAGTAGTGGCTAATGCAGGAAAGTGACACTAGTAAGGAAGGTGTGATAGTGTTTCTTGGTCATTTCTGTTTCTTTTTGTGTTGGAAGCAAGTTCTAGTTCAAAGGGACAGTGTGACTTCTCAGAGCTGTCACCTACTCAGTCATAGACATAATCCACTTACTTCATTCACTTTTGCTTTGAGTTGCTGAACTCCCACACCTCACGGGCTCACCTCAATTTCGTGTTTATGGGGCAACATGAACTGTGTGCAAATGGGGTGACATTTTCCACGTGCATGTCCTTTGTTCGTGGTGTGGGCGTGCTTTATTTTCTCATCGGACTTTGCTTTCAAAACAAAAGTTCAAACATAAAATTAAGGATTTCAAGATGGCAACAGTAGAGCATTGCACCAAGGCTGGGGTCCTTTCGTGCTGAGCTCTGTGCACTGGGCAGGTGGCATGCTCATGGAACCAGCCTTGGCAGGAAGGCCTTGGAAACGGGTGGTGGATTGGCCAATGCGACTCCCACATGCCCAGATGACAGTTTAACCTGAGGCTGGCCCACCTCCAAATGCAGATCACAGCAGCCTTTGACTCTGGAGCACCCTCTGGGCAGACGACAAGCGTACCCATGGAGGGCGTAGTCAGCAAAGCCCATGGCAAGGTACCTTGACTAGAAAGTGGAAGCAAAGAACACAGAGGACTGACCGGTTTCTCTGTGTTAGTACCATGAGGATGATCAGAGTCAGTAAACCTGGGAAGGAGGCAGGGGACTAAAAGCCACGCCCTGCACAGTAGGCTTGGATGTTGACACAGGCTAATTTGAACCCAAAGGGTGGTGCCATTTCAGTTGGATCAGTTGGAAAGATATTGAGGGAGGACTGTAAACCCCTGAGCTCTTACTTCCTAATTGCGGGCAGGGTGGGGGGATGAAGGTGGAAGGTGGCAGAGGGGATAAAGGGTGATGGAAAAGATAAGATAATAAAAATAATATAAAAACAGAGTGCTCTGTAATTCTCCATTTCACTTCATCGCAAGCACGATGCCGCCAGATTTGAAAACCAGTGGTGGATTCAGGGATGGGTCACAGAAGGCACTGAGTAATAGCAGCAACCTACCCAGCGTTTGCCACCCACAGACACCACTCTGAAAGTGTTGCAATCAGGGACTTAATTGTTATACCAACTCTACGAGGTGGGCTGTGACTGCCACCACCACCATTTTCTACAAGAGGACACGAGGCAACAAAAGTCCGGAACTGCACGAAGTCACAGAGCTCGGAGCAGCTGCAGTGAAACCTCACCCCAGCCTCGGTGTCCCTGCCCCTGACCTCAGGGTAACCACTTAGCCACTCCGCCCCCAGAGCGGGCGCCGCCCCCTACGGCGGCACATCTTACAGCCGCCAAGATGTTATTCTCTTCGCAGGACTTTTCTTATACTTTCTATAATCCATATGCTTGTCACAA